TGATCTACAACAAACCAACAGTCAATATCATACTATGTGGCCAGGAACTGAAGGCCCTTACCTCACAAACAGGTACAAGAAAAGGATGTCTCTTATCACCACTCCTGTTTAATATAATACTCCAAATACTAGCCAGAGCAATTAGACAAGAGAGAGAAATAAAAGGGGTAACAGTAGGAAAAGAAGTTAAATTATCATTAATTGTGGATGACATGATACTTTACACAGAGAGCCCCCCAAACTTCATTGAAAGACTTTTAGATATAATAAACAAATTCAGCAAAGTAGCTGGATACAAAATCAATACTCAAAAGTCATAGCATTCCTGTACACTAACAGCAAAATCACAGATGGAAAAATAAGTGAAGCCACACCCTTCACACCAGCAACCAAAGCAATGAAATATTTAGGAATTATTCTCACAAAAGAAGTGAAAGATCTATATAGGGAAAGTTATAATACATTGAAAAAAGAAATTGAAGAGGATCTCAGAAAATGAAAAGACATCCCTTGCTCATGGATAGGAAGACTAAATATTGTGAAAATTGCCATTCTCCCAAAACTGTTGCACAGATTCAATACAATCCCAATAAAAATACCATCCACATACCTCATAGATCTAGAGAAATCACTCCTAAAATTCATCTGGAGCCAGAAGAGACCTAGAATAGCAATGACAGTTCTAAGCAGCAAAGGCAAGGGAGGAGGCATCACAATCCCTGACTTGAAGTTACAAAGCAACTGTAGTAAAATCAACATGGTACTGGAATAAAAACAGAGCTGAAGATCAATGGAATAAATTAGAAGATACAACCACAACTACAAACACACTCAACCACCTTATCTTTGATAAAGGGGCCAAACATGTTCATTGGAAGAACAACAGTCTCTTTAATAAATGGGTTGGAAAAACTGGCTCTCCCTATGCTGAAAACTAAGACTAGACCCATGCCTATCACATTGTACTAAATTAAAATCTACATGGATCAAGGATCTGAATATTAAAACAGAAACACTAAATCTACTGGAAGACAAGTTGGGTAAGGGCTAGGTAGAGAATTCATGAACAGGAATCAAACCACACCAGAAATACTTTCCAGAATCAACAACTGGGATCATGTCTTATTAAAAAGTTTCTGCACGTCAAAAGAAATCTCTATGATAGTGAAAAGAAAACCTACAAACTGGAAAAAAAAACTTTTTTTTTGTCTTTTTCATTTTACCGGTACCAGGGATCAAACTCACGACTGCCTGCTTACAAGGCAGGCGCTTATGCCGCTGAGCTAAATCCCCAGCCCCTGGGAAAATATCTTAGTTAACTGTACCTCAGACAAAGGACTTCTGTCTAAAACACATAAAGAATTTAAAAAATCAGACTCCCAAAATTCAAGAATCCAATCCAAAAATGGGCATCTGTGATGAATACACAATTTTTAGAGGAAGAAATACAAATGGCAAATAAATACATGAAAAAATGTTCATCATCTTCACTCATTAGAGAAATGCAAATTAAAACCACACTGAGATTCCATCTCACTCCTGAAAGAATGGCCAACATCAAGAAAACTACCAACAACAAATGCTGGAGAAGCTGTAGGGGAAAAGGAACTCTCCTGCACTGTTGGTGGGAGTATAGACTTGTGCAACCATTGTGAAAATCAGTCTGGAGATTTCTCAGAAAGCTGGGATTGGAGGCCCCATTTGTTCCAGCTATTCCACTTCTAGGCATATTCCTGGAAGAACTGAAAACATCATACCACAGTGATATATGTACACCCATGTTTATAGCAGCACAATTTGTAATAGCCAGATCTTGGAAACAACGTAAGTGTCCATCAACTGAAGGATGGATAAAAAAGATGTGGTATTTTTATGCAATGGAGTACTACTTAGCTATAAAGAATTATCACATTGAGATAGTTATAAATAAATAGATGCAGCTTGAGACCATACTCATAAGCGAAATAAATCAAATTCACATGTGTAAGTACCGAATAGTTTCCCTAGTGTAAGAAATGGTAAGAATACACAAAAGTAAGTAGTAATCATGATTCCCCCTTACATTGCTTCGAAGCCCTATCATGTTTTCATTCATTAGAACCATTAGAACCATTAAAACCATTAGAATGGTTTTATTCTGGGTTGTTTGATGTTATTGTCCATGATGGTATGAACAGCTATTTTGAAGAAAACAAGATATTATATTAGATAGTGATGATTTAATATCATCTTGTTCTGAAGTCTCCCCAAGCTTATATTATTCTGTTTCCATTGGTTTTATCATGTATCTTATTGGATTTTATTATATGTGATTTTATAAACAAATCATCTTTTTATAGACAAGGAGATAATAACCATTGTTCATTTTTTATTAGTTGGTTCTGAATACTCTGTAATACTTTCATTCTCTTGAATGATTTTACACTTTCTTTTTATGTTTGATACTATAGTATATGAAGGTATACTCAAATATTTCAAGGAACGAGACACTATGATAGCTACTGTTATGTCAGATTGACTTGTGGTGAAACACTATGTTGCTTAAATAGTTCTGTTCTGACCTGTGTTGTTATGTCATCTTTCGTCTTAATCTTTTCTTAAAAATAAAAAATTTATCTGATGTGCTAGAAGTTTTGACTTTTTTACATGTGGATATTCAGTTGTTCCAGTATGTTCATTAAAGGTACAATTGTTTCTCCACTTAATTCCTTTTGCATCTTTTCCAGAAATCAATTGTCTGTTATTTGGGTATCTATTTTGAGACTTCATATTGGTACCTTGGTTGTTTGTCTATCTTTATATCAATGCCATTTTGTCATGCTTGGTGTAACTTTGTGCTAATTCATGGGATTGGGGAGAGTTAGAGCTCTAACTTTGTTCCTTTATCAAAGTTGTTTAGACTGGGGTTGGAGATTTAACTCAGTGACATAAGTGCCTGCCTGACAAGCGTGAGGTCATGAGTTCAATCCCTAGTACCAAAAAAAAGAAAAAAATGTTTAGGCTATTCTGAGTCTTTTGTATTTCTACAAAAATGTAAGAATCAAAATGTTAACCTTTATGAAAAATAATGTTGGCATTTTAATAAGAGACTGTGCTTTCTTATTTTTATTATTTATTCTACTTGTTTTTTATTTTATTCTTTTATTTCTAATTTCTTAAGGAAAGATCAGGATATTTAATAACTTGCTTTTCTAATAAATGTAATTGGTGTTAAAATTTTTAAAATGTCTAGTTTATTAAGGCCTGTGTATTCTCACAGTGCTCTGCTATTTAAATTCTTTCTCAATCCCAAGTAAATAATTATTTGGAGGCCGTCTCTTTGATTTTTAAAAGTTAGTTTGACAGAATCTTCATTGATCTGTCTAGTTCTGAGAAGTTCTTAAAATATGGATTCTCTGGCAAGAAAAGTATACAATATTTATAAATAAGAATAATTACAGCTCCATGAGATGCAAATGGGATGCTGCATAATTTCGCACTCTGTGAGTAAATGTTTGGCTACTTTGTTAATCATGAAAAAAAAAATATGGAAAGCCAAAAATGAAAGATTAACAGCACACAAAAAGAACAATAAAAGAGAATATTGAAGGCAAAATTTATTGATTTTTGAAGACTAAAGATAAAACACAACCGGGCATGGTGGAACACTCCTGTAATCCCAGCACTTAGGAGGCTGAGGCAGGTGGATCATCACAAATTTGAGACCAGTCTGGGCTACAAAGTGAGCGCAAGGCCAGCCTGAACTGCATAGTGAGACCCTGTCTCAAAAAGACAAATGGGACAAATCTTGAAACCTGTTGTAGCCTAGCTCTAATCAATTCACCTCCATCTTGTTCTGTATGCACCACACAACCCCCTCCCCTCCCCATTCTTTTTAGGTTAAGTCTCCATTTCCCATAAAAGCCTTAAGTTTCAGTTTCTTGTAATCCCCCTACCCCCTTCCACCTATCTGTAATAAAATGTGCTATTCCTTAAGAAACATTTAGCTACAAGGAAATTACAGGATGTCTTTCTAATCTAAACTTGCCTGTTTGCAGGGTAACTTGCTTGTTTGCAGGATGTGCCTTCTCCAGAGGATGTTTGCCTAATCTAAACTTGCTTGTTAGCCCAACCCTTACTTGAACCTTGCTCTTCCCAGGAAATGTAACCATGTTCCTGTTCTGTAGTGTGCCACAAACCCACCCCCTACCTTGCATTGTGAGATCAACAGCTGTTTGCAGTTTTACAAGATAAAAACCCTGCCCTTTAGTTGTCAGGCACCAGTCTTCCATATTGGCTACTGGAGGCTATGTCGCCAGGCCTGACCTAAAATAAAGCCTTTGCTCCAAATTTCTTAATTTCTTGCCTCCTTGGATTTTATTCCGGGGTCTGAGCTATCACAAAACCTTTCAAGATTAGGGACAGGACTGGTATATCACATATGAACAGTAACAAATTTTTTTAAGCCTTTGACCTCTCATAGAAGACTGTAGAAATATTTTTTGGTCAGTCAACATCATCTTTTATTTTCAAAAGTTTTCATCACTCCCAAACACAAATGCTGTTTTTTTTTCTTTTGAGACAAGGTCTAGGTATCTGGTCTATGCTGGCCTTGAGCTCACCAAGAAGCCCAAGCTGCAGGCTAGACTAGGCTCAGAGAACCAAAGATCTTCCTGCCTTAGCTGGGATTACAGGTATATACCACCACACCTGGCTCTTTCTCATATTTTTGAGAGGAAGGAGGTCTCCTTAAATGGCTCAGGCTGGCCTTGAATTTATGAAACTCCTGTTTCACCTTCCCCAATAGCTAGGATTACAAGTATGCTCCTCCTTGCTCAGGCTGTCCTCTGTCTCCTCTGAAGTGAGTGGCCAATGTCACCTCTGCTGAATGTACACCTGGTTTCTCAGGTTTGCTCCTGGATCAGTACACTTTAGATCCTGAGCCAGTAATGTCTCTCTCCAGCTTTCGAAGGTGTTGCAGATGGGAGTTCAGTGTCATTCGGCTTGGACTGTTATTCCTCTTGGACTTTTTGCCACCACCCCTCCTTCAGGGAGAGAGGGAGCTGCACTGGGAACCCTAGAACCCTGCCTGGTTCTGGATTCCTGGCAGGGGTCTGGGGCCCTCTCATTCTCAGAGGCATGGCTTCTGACAGATGAGTTCTACAGAGCTGCCTGCTGTGTTCTGTAGAAAGAGGGGGGTCACATGCAGAAGAAAGATAAAACAGGGTATCATTAAACTTCATTAAAGAAATGTTACTAAAGGCAGCTTTTGCTTCAATGTAAAGAGAAATCAAGACCTAAGAAGGCACCAGGTAACACAATTAACATAAGACAGGATGTAGCCAGGAACATGAAAGACCAGGATAACCAGCCCCCCACCCCCATACAGAAGAGATAAGTGGCAGACACCTAAAGACTCTTGATACACACGAGTCCTCTTTATTTAATTTCTAAATCTGTGCTGCCCTTTTATGAGGTTTCCCCCTCCCCAGACTTACCCATCACAAAAGGGCATAAAGGAATCAAATGGCCAGAAAGAATGTGGTTCCCAAGCTAGAATCAAGGACAGCCAGAGAGCCAACTGGATGGCAACAACTGTCACGTGTCCCCTAGGGGAGAAGAAATTACCAGTCCCAAGTAAACCAGCTGAGGTCAAAACCCCACAGTGATGTTCTCCGTTGATGCTCCCTGAAAGTTTTGCCCAATAAATTACGGTATGGTTACGGTGTTGGTCTAACCAAGAACGCTTACTATTTGCTGTTTCTTCCTCAGCCCTAATTGCAATTTCCCTTCCTGTTTGCAGGCAGAGAATTCCAGTCAGTTCCCGGAGCATCATTAATGCCCGTACTAGGCACCACCCAAGGTCAAAGGTTACATAATATCCCATACCCCACATTCTGGTAGAAGGAGACAGCCCAGCCGCCATGGGTTGTGTGCTACTTTCCACATCCTCAACTCAATAAACCTGTTTATTTTGTACTTTTCTTCTCTTGCGCCAGAATAATCTAACACTCCCTATTCTTCCAGAGTAGCTGTTTATCTTCACTTTTCTCCGCCCTTTTCCAAATAAACCGTCTTCCTTTAAATTAAATTAAGCGCACCCTCCTTCTGTACTTCTCTCCCGTTGCTGAGTTACTCCAGCGACACACCCTGCCTTCAGGGAGGCAGCCTGCTGGCAGCGAGGCGCCACCGGCTGTAGGGGCCCGGGAGATAGTGCGCGATTATAGGAGGCGCCCCACACCCCAGGCGCGCATGCCCACAGTGGCAGGAACCCTTTCTGCCGGGCACGCGGACTTCCGCCCATCCTCCGCTCTCCGCCAGGCCGGGGCAGCTCGGGCTCTGGCATAGTTTCCCGGGGGCGTATTTTCTGCCGCACCTCCCGGAACTCCTGGAGGCGCGCTTCCGGCCGCACAACTTCCGGTGGCCGGGGATTACAAAGAGTTCTTTTTACAGTGCTACAGGTTTGGCTGGGGGCTGGGGGTTGGAGGCTGCGGATCGTCTGTCTGCGCTGTGTCTTGGGTGGAGCCGGCCTGGCCCGCCAGCAGCCCAGAGACAGGGCTGGAGGCCTTGCAGCACAGTGGAGAGGACTGGCGCGGGCCTGGTGAAGATTGCACCGAGGGTCGTGGCTCACTGCGCAACCGGATCCGCCCTTTGGGCCCCGGGGGTCCAGGTTAAGGCACCCTCGGACTCCTTCGCTGCTAGTGCGGGAACTCAGAAGATCATTCTTTCGAGCCTGGTCTCCCCCTCTTTCCCCCAGTGTGGCAACCTTATGCGCCGCCGGGCTTCCAGCCGCAGAGGCAGTGGAGCTGGGCTGGAGGCTGCCAAACGTCGCGACCTGCTTCACCGCGTGCTGCATGCTGGGACTTCGTGCTCGGTCTCAAAATGTATTCTTACACTCAGAAGTTGGTCTCTTACTGACCTTGAGGTATTTTTAAAAACAAATTGTCGTAAACACATACTCAAAATAGATCATGGTGGGAGACATGGGACATAATCAAACTACAATCCAAAAATCACTTATTTATGAAAAAATAGCAGCATTACAATTAACCCTGAATACTGAGGTTTTAGTTGAGAAAAACATGCTTGCTAAAAGGGATCTGCGTGCCAGCTTCGGCACCGGTGCATAGGTTCACAGTCATGCGCAAGCAGTGAATAATTGCAAGAGTTGATGAACTTACAGCTCTGATACTGCAAGGTCTGAACTTATCTTTTTCCTGGAAATGATTTAAGCTTTCCTTTTATCTATATTTCGTGATTTCATTGTTCTTGTGTAGAGCTACCAAGTAGAAAGCCTTGTACCTTAGTCTTATCTGTTCACAGACAACTACTATTTTAAATCCCTTTTTAAAATGAGGCATTTGAAAGAATGGAACTAGTGCAGAGCCATTTTTAGTGCTCTGGCCCTACAGACCAGTAGGGTCACTGTGTTGCTCTGGTCCTGTAGTGCCTGCTTTCTCCCTGTATACTCAGCTCTCCCAGAGACAGCTCCTGATGCCACTTGGATGCAGAAGTTGCTGTGGAGTGAAGAGAAAACACAGGAATTGTCTTCTGACTTTTATGTCTTGTGCTGGCTGACAACTGTTAAGCAAGCACTCCTGTTGGGCATATGGTCTGTTTTAACTACATTTAATTGTAATACTAAGTGGATATCAGAAAATATATCCGTTAAGCAAAATAGAAACCTTATTTTAAACAACTACTTAAAAATTGTGTTAGGATTTTTTTCCAGTTTTTTTTCACCCACTTGGAAATGACAAAAATGCTACCTACGTGGTTTCTAATTTGTGATCATGAAAGGAAGGTAAGCTGCGTGGTGCTCTCTGGCAGCCTTGCAGCACCTTGGATTCTCTGTGAAAGAAGGTTTGATCATACTATGTCCCTCCATTGCCTCATGCAAAATTGCTGCTTTCTCCTTTGTCACCTCTGTAGAGATACTCCAAAAGACACAGTAGGGCTCATTTTTAGGAAATGTCTCTTCTAACATCATTCTAGAACTTGGCTCTGGAATAGAGATCTTTTCAGAGAAAAATGGTACCATATTTCCCTCAAATAAGACCTAATTAGATCAAAATACTAGCCCCAATCAACCTAGGCTTGCCTTACCTGCCAATATAGAGTAGCCATTGAGCAAGTGAGGTCTAATCTGCATAATAATCATTGGCCATCACCAGCTGAAGTTTTTTTTCTGAGTAGGTCTTACTTTTGAGGAAACATGGTAATACACCTAAGGTACCAAATACAGTTTAGCTACACAGTTGAGTGTTGGTTGTTTACTGTTGTGATTGTGTCCTCCTGGCTAGTGTTTGCCAGGTACAACATATTCGTAACTTGGGGAAAAAAAATCCAGATTCAGAGTACTATTTCTACTGAATGCAATCGCTTATATAACATTGTGAAGTAAAAATATCTTTCCAGTCATAAGTCAGGCCAAAAATTTCAAATGTTTGATAGCTCTAATTTTGAAAAGACGATTCAAATTAGGAAAGTCTGATAATGACCAAAGTATTATGAATATATAATAACAATGTGGTAGATTAACAAATGGTCAATTTAGAACACCCAGCTGAACTGAATCAGCATGGTGCAGGGTGTACAACACCCAGCAGAGGATTGTTGCCAACAATATAAAAGGAGAGCCTGATGGCAAGATGGTTGGGTTTCCTGGACAGTGATGTGACACTGATTTTCCTGATGTGAACCTGGCTGTTCTCAACATTGGAGGAGCTCGTGTCCTTGCTGTCATTGAGGATGACTGGTTCTCTGAGTAAGTTCAGGTTCCTATCTTCAGTGTTGCTTCCTAGCTGCAATGCCGATCCCTCAGCTTGGTGTCATAGATACTTCATCCCACTGGTGCAAACTTTGTAGCTTCCTCCACTGAACTTTGGGCCTTCTGAATGCAGATCCTTTTTTTAATTATTATTTTGGGAATCCAATTCAGGACCTTATGCCTGCCAGGCAGACACTTATGCCACTGAGCTACATCCCTGGCCAAAGTGTGGATCCTTGATACAGACTTGCATAAGATATTGTCATGGGCTCTAGGCCTGCAGCTGGAATTATGGAGAATGTTGCCATGGGCTCTAGGACTTCCCCTGCACTCCTGCAGAACATTGTCATGGGATCCAAGTACTCCTGTTGTTAAACAAGCACTCCTGTTGGGCATGTGTTCTTTTGTTCTCTAGTAAGCTGTGCTCTGCTCCACTTGGCTTTTTAAATTAATACTATAAATTAATCCTGTAAATTATGTATCCTGTATTAAATTTATATCTTCATAAACCCTGGCTACAGCAAACCAACAATAAATAATGGCAAAATAACAGATGACCAAAATGTTTTAAATATTTTAATATCTGAAGATTATAATGAGGTAAATGTATAAGAAGTTTTAAAATACAAAATTACAAGTATAGTTTAGTGTTACAACCCAACTTCTATCTTCAGACAGGTTCATCTTAAGGCCTCTAGATGCCCTTTCTGGTCATGTCTGTGTGGTCTTTTAGGTTCCTAGGACTCTAGTTTAGAGTTGTGAATTGGGACAAAACCAGTGGAGGAGTTATTAAACTGTAAAGTGCTAATAAAATATATTAATAAAATGTGTCATCTCGGGCCATTTGTTTAAGATCTGAGGAGTGAAGGACACCCTCTGTCTTGGTTACTTTTTTCTCAATGCTGAGACAAAATACCTGACACTCAAAAGTTAAGGAAGTAAAGGTTTATTTAGCTCACAATTTGTGGAGGTTCAGTCTCTACTTGGCTGCCTCCAAGATAGAGTGGTTCGTGGCAGTGGGAAACAGTCCATGGTGGTGGAAAGCAGCAAAAGCAACAAGAGCAAAATGGGAGGAGCATACCGAGAAGACTCCGTAACATATTGTACATAGGGTACCACCCTAGGGTGGGTATAGCACTCACATCCATAATCCCAGCATTAGACCATGAATCAATCACAGATTTAGAAGCCTGCCACCATGTGTGCATGAGGCTTTGGGGAGACAGCCAGACACAAATCATAATACCCTGCATGGGCTACTAGATGGAGTTGTCACCTGACTGTCTTATAAAGAGGAAGCAAAGTCTAATGGGAAACCAGTGACTTCTGCAACATCTGTTAATTATTTTTAGCTGTAGTCGTGTTTCTCCAACTTGATGACTTTTATTTGTATGACTCTCACATGCAATATTGTAATGTATGCCAGAACGTAAAACTACTGCGTTGTAAAAGAAGCCACCATAAGGCCATGCTGCTTCTCATGTTCCTGTGTTTTAAGTCTGAATGTGGGTCATAAGTTTGAACTATGGTTAAACAGGTGAGTAAATGAGAACTCTCAAGTGTTATAGCTCATAGCATCCTGCTGGTCTGTTCACAGCTGTGTTTTCCCTGACAGACCCTCACTTTCACTATTCCTTATAAGTTCACCCCATCGGATCCAGGGAGAAAGTACAAGTTGCCTCTTTGTTTTTCTGGGTTATGTTTTGTCTCAAATTCTCTGTAAACCTCAACTCTCTCATCAAATCCTTTATGGGTCCCAGGACTCTACGTCCTTCCTTTTTTCCCAAGTTATTATTTTTCAGTGTCTGAATTCCAAATCCAGAGGGGGTTAATCCATTGCTGCTTACCACTCCGTCTTCTGGAAAGGCTTGCTTATTTATTTATTTATTGGTGATTCTGGGATCATGCACATGCACTATACCACTGAACTACAGCCTTAAACCCAAATATTCATGTTTATAAAGATAATTTGACATTGTGGAAATATTTTGGGGGGAGTTAAAGATTCCTAGGATGAAATTGCACTTGTAACACTGTCTAGCATAGAAAATTGGCCAGCTTTGTAAATTTATCTGATTGTCTGCTAAGTGTGGAAAACTTGCACTCCAGACCTCCAACAGTTGCTGACAAGCATCCCAAAGAATGAATAAGCACACATGAATTGTATTTAAAATGCAGAAGTTCAGTCCCTGCTAACCTCATGTCCTTGGTCCCATATTATTTTTGCTAGCCCTAGTCTTGTAAAGGGAGAAAACTGTGTGGGAAGATACTGAGACAGACAAGCTTCCCTTACTGCAATGAGTTATAAACGAAGATGATAGAGACACTACAGGCCACACACACACACACACAATATGAGATTGCAGATAGTAAACTCTACAAATACTTTAATGTTAAGCGGCTACTGACCTAAATTCGAAAAGGTACAAAACATACCTATTTAGAGAGGATATTTATATGGTTAGAATGGTGTACTCTTCATCAAGCAATTTCTAAGGAAGAATATCCTGCACACATTTCTGAAAATGGTCAAATATTATACTTGTGGCTGTATGCTTTGTTTTTGTTACCTATGTGGGCTTAGTCTAGCTTCTGAGTAATTTGTCTGAGATGGGCCCTGGCATGGGTTTTTAACCTTTTGAGGTGACTATGTAAATCATGTCTGGGCTCCCTTAATGGGTCCTTTAGCCAAAGGTCCTTTAGTCAGGTATTTTGTCTCAGCATTGAGAAAAAAGTAACCAAGACAGAGGGTGTCCTTCACTCCTCAGGTCTTAAACAAATGGCCCGAGATGACACATTTTATTAATATATTTTATTAGCACTTTACAGTTTAAAGTGAGATATGCAAATCCCTATTTCCATCCTCCTTGTAGTTTGGGAAGTTTATATTTGTAATCCCATGGAAATGTTATTGGAATCCCAGTGAGTTAATTTCAAGATTGCACCTCCAGTGCAACCCACAGTGAGAATAAACACACTAAGACATATTACAGTTACAGGTACCCAAGGAATCCTGAGTCTAGCTCAGATGAAGTTTCATGAAACAAATGTCTTGACCTAATCAAGAATTTATTAATTCATAAAGAAGAGAGTGGCTCAAGGATGCATGTTGGTAAGAATGGTGGGAATTGCATGAGTAATGTGAACTGAGCTAACTAGGTGGCCAGAAAGCACCTCTGCAATATGTAAAGAGAAGATCATGCAGAAAGGCCAATATGCAGAATACAGTTGAGGTAGCATTTACCATTTAGGGGCTAGTGCCTCAGTTCTGATATGCAAATGTTTTCTGCCCTGGGAAATCATCTTGAGGCTCAAACCCAATTGACAATCCTGAAGCTATTGGCTCTGCCATCCTGCTGTGCTCAACCTTTTAGAAGAAAACACTCAAAGTGAGGAAACAGTTATTGCTAGGCATCAAAGATGGCACATCAGTACCTCAGCTAACATTGCTTGGAGCCAATCAAAGGGAAAAAGAAATAGCTTACCCAGCTCTGTATATATCAGTAGAAGGCCATAAGGCCAGGTTTAGCTAAGGTAGAGGTAATTGTTCTTTACTCAAGGAGCCATTCTGGTGGTCCTCCACAGTGAGACTCCAAACAAAATCACTTTCAATTGGATATATCAGCACTTCTGAGCTTGGA